AGTTCAGAACATTATCAAAGAACTGCAGCTTGTCCCGTGCCCAGAAGGGGGATATTTTTCAGAAACCTACCGGTCTGGTACACAACCGATGGCGTCACACGGCAAAACCGACGACCATGGTGCCGTAATGAAACCTGGTGGACGCAGAACCTCTGTGCGTAATGTCAGCACACCCATAGTCTATATACTGATATATTTCCTGCATCGAAATGAATCCGATTTGGTGAGGTATTACCATGGCGGTGGGACAATTCAAGTTTACACAGTTTCACCTGACGGTAAACTTTATCAACATAGACTTGGAATGAATTTTCCTGCGGGAGATGTTCTGCAAGTGGCGACGCCCGGTTCTTCTGGGAAGCTTTAGAGCTGATTGATGGTGATTGGGCTTTACAGGAGAAGGCAATGGCCCCAGGGTTCGACGACCACGACATGGTTCTTGGGACACAGGAATTAATTTCCCATTTCTCAGAAGAAATTAGGAATATGTTGAAACGATACATTTATTCATGTGCTCATGATTTAAATTGTTATTGTAAATATCATTAATATGTTCAAACATGCCCATTATTCAATGTAATTATTAAACATATTCACGTAAGCCATTTGTTGTTACTGGTGGACCACAGAGTAACACACTTTGGTCGGTTATGTGTTAATAATATCGTAATGTTATACTGCTAGGTATGAGGCTTGTTCATCTGTATGCTTTAGCAAAAATATACATCACGAGTTTGGAAAAAGCATAAATTCTCATTTAAAAAATGTTGGTGACATCAATGCAATCAACCACTGGGATGTAAATTGCTGGGAACAAGATGCACCTGTTTTACAATTTTTGATTAAAACTTTGTATGTTGTTTGTAGACGGTGTAGGTTTATTTTCAGATTCTGTGATTGTTTTTATCTTGGAGTGTTGTTTTCCTGAATTGGTCCTGTGCTACTAAATTGCTTGCCCCACAAAGTAAAAAGTCGTTAATAGGTCTAATCAAACACACGAGAAAATGGGCCCACTATCATATGACCGTTTATTCACAATATTGGATGATTCTGCCGATATTAACATATGGGTTTGGATTTGGGGTCACCATTGTTATGAATCAATAGAACAATAGAGTACAATATCTTGCTTGCAGAATATTATTACGTATCTCTCAAAATGTTCCAAACTGTGCAGTATTGGGAGATTGTTGACGTTACAAAATTAATTGTTATAATAACAGCTAAGAGATACGTCAATTATTTGGCCAAATTATTACGCATACCAAGGACAAGGTACCCCAGTAAATGTTACTTTATGCTGTACCACTTAGAGATTCAGAACTAGACCAAACTAGGTCACTTATGCTAAATAACTATTATTATCGTGCAATATGCAAAAGGTTTAGATGCACAGGACGTCTCAAATATTGATTTATTTATTTATTAAGATATTCACTCCTAGATAGAAATTTCATTTGTATTGTGGCATGGTGATATTTTAACTATGGAAAAACTAGAAAACTATCGATATTTATTTTCCGTGTCTGTCCCTGCCTGTCCTCTGTGTGTTATCGCGTTGTCGTAGCTCTGCTCATTGTCTCAGAATAGAAACCGACAGCAAAAATGATATTGAAAGAAGTGATTGGGTCTGCTCGTCATGCAATAATTCGGAAATTGAAGACGGATACCATTTACTATTAATTTGTGCATTTGGTCATTTGTCCACGAGGTCATTAGGGAAAAATACATTCCAAGATACTATTTTACATTGCCTTCATAAAATAAGTTTGTGGAATTGATGAAGACGTTTGACAGTAACATACTACAATCAATATAAAACGCACTCATGTTGCATATAACAGGTTTTCAAAATGGTAACATATAATTTTACTTTTAGCATAACAATGTTATGAAACTCTAAT